GGAATTCCAGAAGTAGTATTTGATTGCAGCACTCAGGTTTTGAATGTAGGATATGTTAGTTTTATGAAGCAGTCTGACTGCTGCTGTCCCATAATACTAGATTTGTCTTCCTAGTACCGATTTTTGAGATTGATAAATTGGCTGTAAAATTACACCAAGTGCAGAATATGACCTGATAAACATTTTGTTTTCTTCTCTCCCACCTACTTCTTTCTTTCTCCACTCCCAAAATAAAAGCTTGAGTAAACTGTGAAATTTCAGAAGTGTATTCAAAAGTAGTCTCCAGAATAACATGCCCAACTTCTTCATATATAAACATTGAAATAAATGTTCATATATAAATACAAAATTAAATTGAATTAATTTTTTTCTCCTCCAAAAGCAGGAGTCAATTAACTTATTAATTTCCTTTCCTGATAGATTATCACTTTACTGCAGATAACATTTTGTTGATTAATATCTTAACTGCAATTGAAAGCAGATTTTTTTTGGACAGAAATTACTCATAACTGCTAGATTATGAAAAACTTCAGAAGCTAGATGGGTGCATGTATTTCCACAAATATCATCAAGACAGCTTTGACATTTTTTGGATGTATGCTAGCAGACTGCTTGTGTTTTTGCCAAAATTTATTACATTTCAAGTAATGTTACTGAGTTCCTTTTCCTAGGCTCCTTTTTCTGAATTTACGTATTCTGAAAGTGGAATTCTTGCTAACAAAAGTCATTATCTGCACTATTATGAGTAACTCTCAACTTCCAAAAAAAATGTTTAGATTTGTCTTCTCTATTGTAGCTTTATTTCTTCAGAGTATGTTACAGTTTATATGCTCACTTTTGTTTTTCAGTTCCAGCTTTACGTAATACCGATGATAGAAGAAACAACATTGATCATTTCTCTTGAGGAAGCAATGATTCACAGCGTGCTTTTGGAGGTATAGGAGCTGCAGTTTCTTACTGAGGGATTTGGAAGATCTCTCTTGTTGCTGCGTGCTGCAAAAGAAGAACTTTGAAGTATGATCTGTACACGTGATATGGTGCTGCAATTACTGTAATAGCCATCTTGGACTTTCTGTTACGAGTTTGCCTTGATACGCACTTGCCTTGCATACACGTGGCCAACTTGCTTTCATTTTAGATGCGTTGTACCAAAGAAAATGTCTCTGCCATAAACAATTCCATTCATAATATGAATGTTGTAGTACAAAAGTATTCAGTGAATATATCCACTATAACCTTTCTAAAGAGTTATTTTCGTATGGTATATTAGTCTACTAAATATTAATACAACTGTTGACATAATTCAACCATTTACTGATTTTGCTGGTAGATTGTTTATAGACTTTTATGTACAAGCACTGTCCCAAATTTCAGATATGGTCTTTCTAATGAAAATTTACTGAGATATTTTCGAAGTGCTGTAATGTTGCATGATAGTTTATCTGGCATTACGAACTTCGTGTGGAAAGTACCTATAATTTTTTGATGCTTGTGACTGTGGTGTTTCGTTACAGCAGAAGCTGAAATTTACAAAAACTATTAACTACAAGAGCTATGGGTTAAAACAAGTTCAAAATGTTTTTTACATTTTCAGTAGCCTTGATAACTAATGGGAAACTATAAGAAGTGCAGTTTTAAGAGTGAAATACTAACTTGATGGAAATAAAATACGTTGGTTTTGCTTAAGTGTTTCTGTTGTTCTGGTTCCTCTCCCTCCTATGTTATTAAAAACAAGGAGTAAGATTTCACATTAATCTGAAAAATATAAATGTTTTGCATCTGTTTTAAATGTCTTAAGTTGTTTATTGATTGGAAAAAACACGCAATTTGTCCATACTGTGCCAGAAAGGTGATATGACTTATGATATACTTGTCATATACCACTGTACTCATTGTAGAATCATAGAATATCTCAAGTTTAAAGGGACTCATAAGGATCATTTAGTCCAGCTCCCTTCTCCTCACAGAACTACCTAAAACTAAACCGTATGATGAAGAGCATCATCCAGATGCTCCTTGAACTCCGACAGTGTTGGTGCCACTGCCCTGGGGAGTCCGCTCCAGTGACCCACTTCACCTTCTATTTTACTCACACGGTGATGCATATCATGTAATATTATTTTCCTTCAATTCTGTAGCAATGGGAAGGAATAGAAGCTAAGATATATAAACCCTTCATTGACCAGGAAACGTTAAACTGCTAATTCGATCAGCTCGACAGGTGCAGCAGGCTGCAACATAGGAGGGAAGGGTTAAGAGGAGATATCCGTTTAGCCTGTGCGCTCAGCCGGCATATAACTGATGCTTCTTTCAAGAGAAGAAAATGGGCCAGAGCCAGGCCTTGTGATTGCTGTCTGATTGCTCCTTCCTGAGCAAAATGTAGTGTGATGAAGGACTATTTTTTGTTTGGCTTTATACCATTGACTGGCCCATTTGCATCTATTTGATTAGAAACAAGAGATCTGCTCTCCTTAAAGGAGGTAACAGCCAAATGAACAAAAAACCCACAATTTTTTAAACTGAGCAGTAGATTTGGAAGTGTTTTCAAGTGATGTTGAGCAGAATGTAATTGCACAATTGAGTGATGTGTACTGTCAGCACTCAGTTATCCCCGTGTGGGTTATCTCAGCTGCTGATGTTCGTTAGCTCAAGCACAGCTCTTCATGAGCGTTATGAAACTGCAACAGAAGACAGATTTAGCTGTCTGTGGTGTGGCCACTTTGCTGAGGACAAAGCCTGAGATGGTTAAGTACTGTTTGACCTAGATAGCTCTGTGCCTGGCCAGTACAAGGGGATGTGCTGTGCTTTGACAGCTGGGAACTGTGAATAGGACCACAGGGATACCATATGTCTTGGTCAGAGTAGGTTTATGTTCAGTTGCATGTGTTGGCCCTGCAGGACTCAGCAGTGAAACAAAACTGGTGCAGGCACCTGTGCAGGTCTTTGGAACAGATGACAACTAAAAGGAGTTTAACAAGTGGGTTTTTGTTTTTTTCCTGATACTCATTTAAGCAGTGGAGAGTCATCTATAGGTATGGGAGATTTCATAGTTGTGTTGTTTCAGGTCACCTAAAAATGAGATATCGGATAAGCACACAAGTGCACATCACAGCCTGACAGTCAAATGCAGTTCAAAGAATTACAAAGGAACAACTAACAGTATCTCCTGAAAGTGGAGAATTAATAGTGGTAGTAAATAAAAGTGTATATGCCTCACTGCAGTTTATCTTAGTTATATACTTTTTAATTGAACACTTCAGAGAGGTTTATCCTGCAGATGAAATTATTTCAGGACCACTAAGGTCTCTTTATTGTTATAGTACCTTCTGCAAGTGGCTACTGCGAAGACTGTTCATCGCCTTTACAAATCCGAAGCCTTTGCCTTTATAGATCCTTTTCTTAGGATAATTTTCATATATATTTTGTATATTTATTCTTAACTATATCTTTAAAATTACTTTGCCACGAGAAGACACAGCCAGGATGCATAAGTGGTTTTATCTTAAATGTTCTGCTAATAGAATAGCGTTCCCTACATATTTGATGTCAGAAACATATTTAGATTTGCATTGTGAAATTAGGTAGAGAATATACTGGACTTCAAAAATAAAGAATGTATGGACATTGGAAGCAAGGACAGGCAACATGGGATGACTACAGAGATGCTGTTTGACACTGTAGGGAGAAAATTTGTGGAGCCAAAGCTTGATTAGAGTTGAAGCTGGAAGCACTGTCAAGGAAGAAAAAAAGAGCTTTTAAAATATGTTAAAAGTGAAAGGAGGATCAGAGATAACTTTGGTCTGTTGCTTGATGAGGTCAGTCACCTCACAAATAGGGTTGTAGACAAAGCAGAGATGTTAATGCTTTCTTCACCTCTGTCTTCAACACCGATAATGAGCCTTAGGACCCTTGGAGCCTGGTGTTGAAAGACCATGATGAGGGGATGATAAACTCCCAGCTGACCCTGAACTTGTTTGAGACTTACTGCTCCGACTGAATGCATATAATCTATGGGGCTCAGTGAGATTTATCCCAGGGTACTGAAAGAGCTGGCCCATGTTATCATGGGACCTCTCTCCATTATTTTTCAATGATCTTGGAAGTCTTGAAAGATCCCAGTCAACTGGAAGCTGGCAAATGTTGTCCTAGTTTTCAGGAAGGGTAAGAAGGAAGACCCTGGTAATTACAGGCCTGTTAGTTTCACTTCAGTGCCTGGTGAAATTACAGAGAAGGTTTTTCTGGGACTTCTTGAAAAGCACTTGAGAGACAACACAGTCATTGGTCATAGCCAGCACAGGTTCATGAGAGGAAAGTCCTGCTTAACTAATTTAATTTCCTTTTATGACAAGGTCACTCATCTAGTTGACCAAGGGAAGCCAGTTGATATGTTTGGTTGTGTTTTTTTTTTTTTAGCAAAGCTACCGCTGAGATGGGGTAGTCCTGGTTAAACATACAAATTAGGGAATGAGAGGCTGGAAAGCAGCTCCACGGAAAGAGATCTGGGGGGTTGGGTTGATAGCAAGTTCAATATGAGCTGACGGTGTGCCCTGGCAACCAAAAGGGCCAACTGTGCCCTGGGGTGCATGAAGCACAGCACAGCGAGCTGGTCAAGGGAGGTGACTGTC